TTGTCCAAGCCACTCAGGGGATGATGTTACAGTGGCTACACTAACTGTTCTGGAATGTCAAAGAGGAGGGATACCTCCCCTGACTAGTTCCCCTGACCCCAAGGCAAGAAAAAGACATAATAGAGGTGAGCATCCACCCAATATCTAATGAACTGGCAACATTTTTTGACAAAAACTTTAGCAAATCCATCCAGCTATCCACTTGACATACCATGACTAAGCAGGGTCAGTCCCAGGAATAGGAGCTTAGCAGTGCAGTGCTTGATGGTGTAACTGTAATATTAGTGATTAACTATAAAGAGGAAGCCATAAGACCGTTTAAGTAGATGGATTTTGGCAATACCTAACATTCATTTCTGATTATATATGTAAAAAACAAAGCAACTTTTCAGGGCCAGTACAGTGACTCAGCGTAGATGAAAAAGCTTGCCAAGCAAGCCTGATACTGAGTTTGATCCCCGGAATTCATAGTGGAAGGAGAGAATCAACTCCCCAAGATTGTCCTCTGAACTCTCATGGCATATGTGCTTCTGTGCTCACACTTAGATCTCCGTCTCTCTCTGTCTCTGTCTCTGTCTCTCTCTCCATCTCTTTCTGTCTCTTTCTGTCTGTCTGTCTGTCTGTCTCTCTCTCTCTCTCACACACATACGTACAGTTTGCTTTTTTTTTAAAACAATGTTGAGTAAATAGAAGGGAGCCTCTCTCAACTGATAAGGACTTTCCGTAGAAACATCTCTGGCAACATACTCCATTGTGTAAAAGACTGACTGGAGCAGCTGGTGAGGCAGGGGGACCTCCAGAGGCTGGATCACACAGTAAGGACAGGCACCCCCAGAAATGTGACATGGCCTCCAGGTGTGGAGATATGGGCAACTCTCTGTTGATTTTTTTTTTCTGGTCTTTGACAAATATATTTTGGTGGAACATGCTTATTTCTCTTGTAACCCAAGAAACAACCATCCCATAGTGGTCTCTACAGGGCTTTCCTTTTTTTCCGCTTTCGTAAAGTATGATTTTTTTTGTAAGGAGTTTGCACACATAGGGCCTATGAGATGGCTCAGTAGGTAAAGGTGCTTGCCCACAAACCCAACCACTTGAGTTCGATTCCTGGAACCCATGGTGGAACGAGAGAATTGAACTGTCAACGAGTTGTCCTCTGCCTCCACATGTTAGCTGTGGCATGCATGTGTCCCCTCCCAATAATGATGATAAGTTAAATACAATGAAAACAAAACCCAAACCAAAGGGCCATCAAGAGTGTGGCCTGAGACTGAAGCAACGTGCTGGATAGTCTTTGAAGACCCAGAAAAGCTGCTGTGGAAGCAGCAGTACCCGGGGTGCAGATGCCCAATCTACTGCATTTTACTCGTCATGTTCTTGTCAAATCTGTGGCTTTGGCTGGACACACAGACCGTGTTAATAATTGTAGTTAATATACAGAGCCATCTCAGAACATTCGACAGTAGACTGAGCTCCTTAATCCTGTGAAGGCAGTTTGGGATCTCTAATTACTTGGTTGAAAAAAGGCAGACACTCCGGGCTGCGGCAGTGTTTGGGAATTAATCTTTAAAGCCTGACAGTGAACATTCAATTCAATTAGGGAGAGCAATTGGGGAAGATTCCTCTCACCTTCACCCTTGGTAGCAAGGCGGGACTGACTGGTCCTCATCGATTCTGCGGCTGCCGTCAGCAGTGTGCGCCAGCAGACAGGTGTGCAACTTCACCTGGGGGGAGGGGCTATCACACCTTTACCGGCTCTGTGTCTGTCTCCTTAGACCCAGGGCCTGCAGGACACCCCTGCCCGCGAATCGAATCCTAGCGCACTGTGCGGCGCTTTTGGCCCAGGCATGTTGGAGTCCAAGCTTTCTTCGGCCCTCTTCCTTCCATGCCTCCCGTGCTCCTTGTTTCCTGTCTGCTCCGTGTTCCTCCCTGCCTTTCTGCCTTTTCTCTCTCTCATCTCTTCTACCCTCTCCCTTTTCTTCTCCCTCCTCACTAACTCCAAAGGTTTAGAGGTGAGTGTGTGCTATGCAAAAGTATGGGGCAGGGACTTCCCCAGTCTTCCCTTCTCATGGCCTGCTTCCTTCACTCAGTGCTCAGCTCTGGCCTTGCTTCTCCTGGAGCTGGCCATTCTGCTTGCTGCTCAGGCCCCAGACCTAAGGTGGTCCTCCTTTCTCCGGCCTCTCTACTGGCTTTACTCCAAGGGGTTCCTATTGCTTCTGACTCCCATATGGATCTCGTCCCCACTGTTGCTGCCTCTGTCCCGAATTCCCGCATAAGCCCCCTCATCTTCTTCCTTCAGGGCAGCTAAAGGGGTCCTGTAGGCTGGAGTCAGCTCCCTCCTTCCCCCAGGAGACCCCGGATGTTCTACTGCCCATAGACACTCACCACACCCCTTCTTGCCACACGCTATTCCCCTCTCTGGCCAGACTGGTCTTCATGCTGCTGTATACTCAGGCAGAACTCTTTCCTCACCCTTCAGGCCTTAAAGTGGTCTAACATGGCCACTCCCTTAGCCCCTTCTTGACTCTAGAACCCCCTTTCTTGCTGACCTTGGAGCATCAGTCTTAGTGTCTGATACACTCCGTTTTGCTAGTTCGTGTAGGGCCCGTCTTCCTGACCGAAAGGCCGACTCTTGGAAGGCAAGAGTTTTGACTTTGGTTGTTTCCTGTGAGCAGTGCCTAGCTGGCTAGTAAGCACTGAGGAGTGTTTGTTGAATGAGTAAGTGGAAGAGCTTTGCCGAGGAAAACATTTGGACACCATTGTTTCAGAGCCGCCTTCTTCCTCCCCATCTGCTCCTCCCACGTGCCACTCACCCTCTCAAAGGAAATACTGAACAGCGTTCACAGCTCCTGGCAGCCCTAGGAGCGACAACCATCTTGAGCTTGTTTTTGGAGTCTTATTGCAAATGCGTGAGTAAACAAGAGTTTGTGTGTGTGTGTCTTTAAAAAAACACGGTGATTTATACCAGACCTTACCACTCGAACCAGGTTTAGGGATGTGGTTCATACTGTTGGGCAGGCTTGGCTTCATCCACCTCCAGGACGCCTCTTATTTCACCCACACTCCACTCCCCCAGCTCCTGGCAGCAGCCTTTCTGTTTCCTGCCTGTGATTCTGACTACTCGGGAGCAGCGTGAGGGGAACTGAACAGAATTCATCCTTTTGGGGCTGGCTTGTCCCACTGAGCATGGCTCCTCCAGGTCGTGGCCGCTGTCAGGACGCACCGTCTAAGAGCACGCCACTTGAGTGGGTGGTCTGCATTTTGTTTACCCTCTCACCTGTCTGGACAAGTAGGCAACTTCCACCCTCTATCCATATAAATAGGCAAAACTTTGAGACCCCAGTGCCAGATGTTTGGGTTTATTCTCAGAAGTGGAATTGCTAGGTTTCATGGTAACCCTACAGGTGTCTCGGAATCACCAAGCTGCTGTCCATCATGACTACACTCTCTTACCTTCCTGCCAGCTGTATAGGGGGTTCTGATTTCTCTGCATCCATGCCAACACTTGTTGTTTTCATTTTTTGTTGTTTTATACCAGCCTGCCTAATTAGTAGGATGTTGTAGTTCATGCGTCCTAGAAAATGACATCACACTTTGTAAATGCAGCCTGTCCTATGTACACAGTGTTGGCCTCTTACTGTCTAACTGTGGGAGCCCTGCAGAGCTCACTTGCTCACTTAATTTTTCTATTAACATCGTACTTGTACATAATTCTGAGGAAGCAGCACGTTCTGCGCTCTGCTGCCCCGCTGCCAATCCTCACTGCACTTACCAGCCTTCTGGCGGCTCCTCCTGTTAGTTCTGTGTTTTAAAACATAACTACTGCTGCCTCTTGGTTTCATTCTTTTTAATTTGAGACCTAGCTATTGACCCCTGGCGTGGAAGGAAAGAGCAGAGGGGGCCCTCCCCACGTTCTGTGGGACCTTCTCATGCCCTCTTGTTTGTGTATGCGTAGACATTTCCAAACTCCCAGGAAACCTTTCAGAACTCCAGATTGGCTGCATTTGGAGAGCCTTCAGGACTTGGCAGGTAGAGTTAGCTCATCTTTAATGGGAGTTGCCCTAGGAGCAGGTTTGTGGAAGTGCGTGGGTGTGCTTGTTTGGGCTTTTCTAGAACTTACTCAGGAAAACCTGGTGCTGCTGATACTCAGGGGATCTTGCCTTTTCAGAACCCCAGTTCTTGCAAGCCCTCCCATCCCTGCAAGCCCCCCCATCCCCACAAGCCCCACCCAGCATGTCCAGCAGCCCTCCTGTTGGCCTGCTGCAGAGCTGCCTTCTGCTCCAGCCTCACTCCTATCTGCGATGATGCTCTTATTTCCAGTTTGTGGAGGGAGAGACTGAGGCCCAGTGAGGTGGAGCCACTAGATCTATCACATGACCAGCAAGATGCAGTGTCAAGGGGAGGTGTTTATGGTGCGTCCCCTTCACCCTGAAGTGACAGTGAGGAGAACCAGCCCCTAACACCTGTGTGAGCCAGACCTGCCAGCTGTGGTAGCTCTCCAGCTGTACAAGCTCTCCTGCCTTGGCTTGTAAGCCACTTGTAGGAGTCAGTTGTGTACTGGACATTCTCCTGGAAGCCTCATTCCCTGATGGGAAGCCAGGATGATGGTTAGGGGGAAGGACCCCTCTCCTAAGAAGATGTACTCTGTGACTGGCCTCTGTCTGGATCTCAGTCTTCAAGAGATCCCTTGACTGTGGTCTGGCCATGTGCTCTGTCCGCTCCATGGCAAGTAGCAGGCTGCAGGAGACTGGGGCAGGACTGTGACATGTCTGTGGCCAGTGGGTAGGACAGGTGTGAAGGTTGAGTGGAGCTGGGAACTGCTGTTTTCTTAGCCCCAGAAAAAGGAAGCCTACACATTTTTATGAGGAAAGGAAAAGCAACTCCAGCTGTTGTTTTGATGTGAATAATAGGAACCCAGTTCCCCAGGGAGCCCCCTGCTGACCTGGAGCTCAGGCCCTCATCATAGTGTCTGGTGCTCCCTCTCTGTGTTTCCCTTGCAGGTGTGGAATGCTGTGGACTCAGGGCGCTGCCTGCAGACCTACTCTGTGCACAGTGAGGCCGTACGGGCTGCACGATGGTCTCCCTGTGGCCGGCGCATCCTCAGTGGTGGCTTCGACTTTGCCCTGCACCTAACAGACCTCGAAACAGGTGTGTCCTGATGTCCCACTGCCCCAGGTCGGCCCTGTCACTGGGAAAGCCTCTCCGGAGGGTCCTGATCGCAAACCACCCACCGTCATGGTGTGGTGGGGGTCTCAGAGCAGACTCGTTTCCCTGACCGGTATACAGATCACTTACCAACAGCACTGCAGCTGTCTGCAAGGCACTGGACCCAGTCCTCTGCCAGTCAGCAAAGGACAGCCACGGTTGTCTCAGCCCCAAGCTGCAGGGCTGGATAAAGAGGCAGCTTTTTAATCAACTTCTGCTGTGTAATTGGAACCAAAATATCACGGTGTCCTTTGATTGGCATCAGTTTAGAATTCCTGTCAGTCCATGGGGTGGAACTAAATTCCATAGGGAAGTCTTCAGAGGGGCTCTTCCCAGTATTTATACTGAGAGGCACCTGGGCAAGGGGGTTTCACGTAGGAAGATCTTCTATCAGGTAGGGAAGGAGGGAGGAGCCAGCAAAAGGAGCTTTCCCAGGCAGGCTCTGTGCAGCATCCCTAGGTTGGGCCTCTCAGCGACAGCAAGGGAGACTGGGGACTATTGAATATGGAGTCTAACCTATACGGCCCAACTGAGCCCTGGCTTCCTGGCCTCCTCCCAGAACTCTCCTTCTGGCTGTTAGCAGCGATGGGTCCCGATGCCTGACAAGTTAGGGACTCGTGGCAGTCAGTGACTGATGATGAGTCTGAGACAGCAGTGCCTCATGGTCCTGTTTGTGTTCCAGCTAGGAGGACCTGGAACTGCAGCTAGTATCATGTGACATGTGGCTCAGTGGGGGTGAGAGGTGGGAGAGGAGGTGCTGACCCTTCAGGTGGGGTGGATTACGGAGGGTGGCATGCTGGCAGGCCTCCAAGAGGCTCTTGTGTGCAGGGTAGGTCTAGAGAGGCATGGCCCCACTTCTAAGTGTTACTGTCCGGTAGGGAACGATGGAAGGCACTTTATCCTCCTCTGCTAGAAATGATGTCTGCATGGGGCTCATCTACTGAAGGATTCTTACTTATTATCCACCTACTGTGTACAGGGTCTGTGCTGGGGTGTGCTAGATGTCTTTTGTTCCCAAAGAGCACAGCATTGATGGGTTTGGATCTCGGCCTCCAGGAAGGCCTCTGGACCCCAGATGAGGCCTCTCCTATGAGGATAGCTTGCATTTCTGTCTGTATCCTGGCAGGCATGTGTCCCCGAGGATGGGTCCATCCTGGTGGTCTCTTTGTCCATTGCTTGGATGGGCCTGGCTCACATCCCCTGCTGTATCCTCCTAGCCTGAGTGATAAAGCTCCCGAGGGCGGCTGGGGTGGGGGCACCATATGTCTGCATACCCCTCCCAGGCCCGCGTCTTAGCACTGGTGCACCCTGTGGCCTCTGTCCAGCTCTGACTAGTTTTGGCCTTTCCCTTCCCCAAGTCTGATCTTCCATTTTCTTTCTCTGCTTCTCCCGCCCATGGTGATTTGGCTTTTTCATTTCAATCTAATTAGAGCGCCCTGCCAGGAGAAGGCCGAGCAGGGCGTTCTCTCTGCAGGGCTTTGGGAATTAGTCACTCGGTGCCCATTGTCATTAATGGGAATTTGGCGCCAAGGCCATTTATCCTGGTGTCCTCAATCAATACAGTTAAAAATCTGTGGATTCTAAAATGTCAATACCCGGCCTGAAATATGGAGGGCCAGTACCATTTTATCTCGTTAATTTATAGTTCTGACGGGCTGTTGGCTTACGGAACAGCCATGAATCAACACTTAATCAAATCTGCTCACAGATTAATTATTTTTGGCGCTCCTGTTTCCGTCTACAATCTCCCTAACAAACGTCTCTGCTACATTAGGCACAGGCGGCCTCAGGGAACACTGGCAGACGCCACCCAGGCCCTGAGTGTCGCTGGCTTTGTGCGTGACCTGTCCTGCAAACCAATTAGCTGGTTGTCTCCTTAGAGCCCCCCCTCCCCCACCGGAGCTTGCTCAGCTCTGAGGGCTGCTCTTGCAGATCCCTTTGGTGGTGGGTGGCAGCTTCTCCTGGCAAGGGAGTGACATGTGCCCTCTATTTGGGGTCTGGGGTAGGTGTGTAGACTCTACAATCCAGCCCTCTGCAGAACTCAAGGCTGTTATGGCCAGGGACATCTGCCCTTCTTTCTGGGATGCTCACTATCCCGACTACCTCCTCTTGTCTCAGTACCACTGTGTCTTTTGTTGGGTGGGAGGGATTGGCCAGCTGGACTGCACCCTACATGAGTATTCCTTTTCTAAGAATTGTCTTCAGCCCCATTGTGACTAGGGCTGATGCCACAGAGAAAGAAAGTGGTCTGTCGTCCAAGTCCTTGCTGTAGCCCTGGTGTCCCACATGCTACTAGGCCTGTATTGAGCTGATGAAGGTAAATGGAGTAGGCCCTTTGCTTGGGCATCATGCCTAGTCCTTCACTGGTCTGTGAGAACCCCATCTGTATCCCCATTTCTCTGATGCAGAAACTGAGGCTTTGAGCGTTCGGTGACTTTCTTGAGGTCACCCAACCAGTGGTGACAACTGGATCTAGCTTGGGCTTATGGGGCTGGTAAAGGTGTCCTGCCAGTGCACGAACTGGTATGCCCTCCCCTCGCCTCTCCCTGCCCTGGACAAACTATCTTGGCAGGGTGCTTGGCTGTTTCCAGGCAGTGGCTCAACATCTGCAGAAAACAAGCCTTGGGAGGATGGAGTGCCTGGATGATCTTGCCTAACCCCTCTGATTAAGTGACGGGCTGAAGGATGCTTCTCGAGCTGTGGACAGCTATGCTCCAGTAGGAGCAGTGTCAGCCTTGACAGCTCCAGAGCACTTGGCACAGGGAGAGTGAATAGTGTCCAAATGAGGGCCGCGGCGAAGAGCACTGTCAGCCCGCAAGGCTTTGGAGGAGAGGCCGTGGGAGAAGGCTCCGTGTCAGGCTAAGCCTCCCAAGTGGCGCCAGCTCCCACTGGTGCTTGAAGCAAGTGCTGTAGTGCGGCCAGGGCCTCTGTAGGTGTTCAAGCTCTGTGGCACACTCAAGTGTTCCAGCACATTCCAGGAGAACCTGCTTAGGGTCCTTAGTGCCCCTGGAGAGCAGGCAGGAAACAGTGTGTGCCGACTGTGTCCCAGGCCTCAGTGGGTTAGGCCTGCCTTCAGACTGGCATCCTTGTCTGTTTACCACTTGAGAGGCCCAGTGATATCGCAGCAAGGTCTAGCAGGGTCTGGGCTGATGAGCATCCCTGGCCACTGTCCTTCAGGTACTGTCTTGCCCAGTGAACAGCTGCCCACCCACCACCTTTGTTAGGCACGTCAGAAGACCCTCTAACCCTTCTGCATGTGTCTGTCCTCTGTGACCCTCTCTCCTACAAGCTCTCTAAGCAGCCTTTCATTGGTTCCCCTCCAGGGTGGGTTTCTCCATCTCCATAAACCCCCGTCTCATCCTTAGCTGGGAAGCTCATGCCAGCCCTCCTTATGAAGAAGGCAGCACCCAGGCCCCGGCATGATTTTATTAATTGACATGGGCTCCCAGGAGCCATGTTTCTCCTGTGTGTGGACAGCAGCCACCAGTGAGCAACTGGCCCTTCTTAGGTTAGGCTGCCTTTGTGGACTGACCCTGGAGCTGAACACAGCCGGGGCATGTTTGGTTTCAGCATGGTTGGTTCTGTGTTTCAACAAAGCTGCTTATAGCTAAACACAGCTGGTTTGCAAGCCAGCTCCCCACCCCCTAATTTTAAGAAATTCAGTCTTGTCCAGATCATTGAAAGTGGCTGGGCTTGGGAGGAAAAGCATGATGGCAGCCTCTAGCCTGCGCAGCCACCGTTCACGTGGCCCTACTGTCTGCTCCGGAGCCTGCTCCTGCTTCTGCTGTCTCTTTTCTCACAGCTGCCTCTGACGGGCAGTTTTGAGCACAGTTTTACAGGAAGGATGTCAGGCTGTGAGCTGAGCTGCACTGTGGGTGAGTCCAGAGCCATGCTGGTGGGCATGCAGATGAGGCCCACCTGGCCCTCAGCCGGCATCCTGCCAGACCTCTGCCCACTTGCCAACATGGGCCCCGCTCCTGATACACAGAGGTTGATTTGAAAGTTAGCAAGCTTCTTTTCTTGTTAACTTTGAGTCAGGATGGTTAAATTTACAGCTGGCTGAATACTTCCCAGAGGATGAGTGTAACGATATTGATTTTAGCGAAATGAGTCATATGCCTGCTGCCTGGGAACACTGGCTCAATTACCACGCGCCAACAACATAAGCTTTCCCTTGTCAACATTTTTCCTACTTGTTCGTGAGTCTGTGGCTAGGAACAAAGAGCTCTGGAGAAGGAAAGGTCAGGAGTAGCTGGCAGGTGTGGAGGTGGGATGCAGACAGAGCGACTTTGGGGTCACACAAGTCCAGTCACTGTCTGCATGGCTGGCCAATAGGGCCAGATGTCCTTTCCCTTACCAGACTCCCTTGCCTCAGCTCTGAGATGCAGGTTAATTCCTGCCATTACCCAGGATTGTGGTATATGATAAGTGCAAGGTCCAGATAGGCCTGAAGGACAGGCTTATTGTACATATTGGTTCCTTTCCCACTTGTGACCTCCTAGTAACTGAGTTAAGGTGAGCTCCTGCAGGGACACAGATGTCCCCTCTCTTTCCTAGGGACCAGCGCTTGGGTTTCATTTAACCTGAAATGCCATTGATATGGCAGGAATGGTCTGGGAACCAGACATGCTGAATGAAAATGGAGAGTCCTGGAGCCCGCCTGACCAGAGTGTCCCCTGGCACAGACATTAGGCTGACAGATGATGTTACCCTGGTTACATGGGTGGCTACCTCAGGGAAGCTTAACGGCTCTACCTAAGAAAGGAAGAGGCGCAGCTTGAAGGAGTTGCCTGTCCAGGGTCACCCCAGCATCGCCTCAGTGCTCCTGGATGGGAACAGTGGTGTCAAGAGGGCATTCTGGGTTTCTGCGGAATCCTTGAAGCATGGCTTTGCTTTAAGGATGATTTATTCCAGGGCTGGGGATTGAATTTGGAGCCTCATAC